GCGAAAAGTGAGAAATTTTGCAATTGTGGGAGAGTGGGAGTGGGAGCACACAGTGTGCGCACGGGAGGTGTGGGCGACGCTATGAAGCAGAGGGTAGCGGTGGTGGTGGGGCGAGCTAGCGGCGACCTGCGCTAACGTTAGCATCGCGTGAGCATCCTTAGCGGCAGTGATGCTACGTTTTCGTGCTGCCGAGACAAGGTGAGGAATTGGCGCACGTTCACAAGGTATGTTGGAGACGTGTTAGGAACATTAATGATGGCGCAAACTGATCCAACCCGACCAAACCTAAGCTAACCTAACTTACGATAACCAAACATAACAATTTGATCTAACCAAATCTAAGCTGACTGATCGTACCCTTGCTCTGACAAAACCTAAGTTAACTGATCGTACCCTGTTCTGATCTAACCTAAGCTGACTGATCGTACCCTGTTCTGATCTAACCTAAGCTTACTGATCGTACCCTGTTGTGACCAAACCTAAGCTGACTGATCGTACCCTGTTCTGATCTAACCTAAGCTGACTGATCGTACCTTGTTCTGATCTAACCTAAGCTGACTGATCGTACCCTGTTCTGATCTAACCTAAGCTGACTGATCGTACCCTGTTGTGACCAAACCTAAGCTGACTGATCGTACCCTGTTCTGATCTAACCTAAGTTAACTGATCGTACCCTGTTCTGACCAAACCTAAGCTGATTGATCGTACCAAACCTAAGCTCACTGATCGTACCAAACCTAAGCTCACTGATCGTACCAAACCTAAGCTCACTGATCGTACCAAACTTAAGCTCACTGATTGTACCAAACCTAAGCTCACTGATCGTACCAAACCTAAGCTCACTGATCGTACCAAACCTAAGCTCACTGATCGTAAAAAACTTAAGCTCACTGATCGTACCAAATCTAAGCTCACTGATCGTACCAAACCTAAGCTGACTGATCGTACCAAACTTAAGCTGACTGATCGTACCAAACCTAAGCTCACTGATCATACCAAACCTAAGCTCACTGATCGTACCAAACTTAAGCTGACTGATCGTACCAAAAATAAGCTCACTGATCATACCAAACCGAAGCTCACTGATCGTACCAAACTTAAGCTGACTGATCGTACCAAAAATAAGCTCACTGATCGTACCAAACTTAAGCTGACTGATCGTACCAAAAATAAGCTCACTGATCGTACCAAACTTAAGCTGACTGATCGTACCAAAAATAAGCTCACTGACCGTACCAAACCTAAGCTCACTGATCGTACCAAAGCTAAGCTGAGCGATCTGAGCTTAATGTGGTGGTTACTGACTAGCAACCCTGCCAGCTGAGCTCCACACATATCACTGAAACAATTCTGAACGAAATATTTCAAGCGCATTCGTCTACTATGAGCTAGAAATATTTCGCTCCTATTTTTAAACTTATTTGTTATGCATGTATATGTTTCTTAGGTTCTGCCACACTTGAGATAGAGCTACACAAATATATATTTTGGTTGATGGTAGTGGTTGTTTGGTGATAGTAGTTAGTGGTTGTTTACTGATGGTAGTTAGTGGTTGTTTAGTGATGGTAGTTAATGGTTGTTTGGTGATAGTAGTTAGTGGTTGTTTAGTGATGGTAGTTAATGGTTGTTTGGTGATAGTAGTTAGTGGTTGTTTACTGATGGTAGTTAGTGGTTGTTTAGTGATGGTGGTTAATGGTTGTTTGGTGATAGTATTGGTGGTTAGTGGTTGTTTAGTGATGGTGGTTAATGGTTGTTTGGTGATAGTAGTTAGTGGGTGTTTAGTGATGGTGGTTAGTGGTTGTTTGGTGATAGTAGTTAGTGATGGTAGTTAGTGGGTGTTTGGGGGTAGGTTGTACCAATAATATAGAGAACAGGAAGACTCACCGATTCTGGGGACGTCGTAGGGCCTGGGGCCGGAGCGGGCGTGCCTGAGGAAGTTGGTGGCTATGGAGGCTCCTACCTGCTGCAGCCCCGCCGCTACTGCTGCTTCCTCCTCCTGCTCCTGCTGCCCCTCGCCCGCCCCTCCGCTCACTGGGGCATCACTCTCCTGCTGCTGCTGGCCCCCACGTTTACCCCACGCCCGCCGCCGCTCCTGCTGCTCCTCCTGCTGCTGCTCCTCCTGCAGCAGCTCCTCGTCGGCGTCTGCTGGAGGCTGCTGCTCGGCCTGCTCGTAGTGGCGGTGCCCCGCCGGCAGGATAGGTCCCGGGGGCACGTTAGGAGCCACATGGTGGCGACGATACAGATGCGGGTATTCTAAGAGCGCGTTGGCGGGTAGTGCGGGTATCTGGGGCGGGTGGGCGGCGGGCGGATGATGGTGGAGGGCCGTGGCCGCCCGCACCAGTGCCAGGAGGGTGTTGCGGGGGCGCTGGTGGCCGGTGCCACTGGAGGATGCCAGGCAAGGGTCACACGCGCACGCCAGAGCCACGAGCCAGAGGACCAAGCCACTGCTCTGCATGGTACGCGCCGGACAAGCTGGCGGCCTAGACTGCACTGAGCGGCAAGTCCCGCGCCGCCCCGCGACTCGCCGCTTGCTGATGCGCAGCGCGATCCCACCTGCCTCGCGCCGCCCACAACCCCCCGACACCACCCAACCTCGCAGACACCTCCTGTAGTGCGTCCATGGGCGCCAACACGCCCTCATCACCGGGGGTAACAACACGCCCACAACCACACTAGTCGCTTTGATCCAGACCCCATGGCGCCACCCCCTCCCCTCCCCCCCCTACACATCAACTTCATTCATTGAATTTGGGCCACCCACGCACTCTCCCCCCCCTCACACCACCACCCACACCCCCCCCCTCTCCATTCTCAACTACTGAATGGCAGTTGTGCTGAACCACCCTCCCGCCCTAACTGCTGTGGGCGCCATCGCTGCCAAGTTGACGTTTTCGGAGTCGGTGTTTACGGTCCCTGGAGACCCGCCAAGTCTGGAAATTTTAGCGTGGCTCATTAGACTGTTCCTTCACATCTCTTGCTGATGATTCACGCTGGGATCACTCTTCCTTCCTCTCATTCACTCTCTTGCTGATGGTTCACGCTGGGATCACTCTTCCTTCCTCTCATTCACTCTCTTGCTGATGATTCACGCTGGGATCACTCTTCCTTCCTCTCATTCACTATCTTGCTGATGATTCACGCTGGGATCACTCTTCCTTCCTCTCATTCACTCTCTTGCTGATGATTCACGCTGGGATCACTCTTCCTTCCTCTCATTCACTCTCTTGCTGATGATTCACGCTGGGATCACTCTTCCTTCCTCTCATTCACTATCTTGCTGATGATTCACGCTGGGATCACTCTTCCTTCCTCTCATTCACTCTCTTGCTGATGATTCACGCTGGAATCACTCTTCTCATGATGATTCACGCTGGAATCCCTCTATTCATGATGATTCACGCTGGAATCACTCTCCTCATAATGATGAGGCATGCTGGAATCCTTCTCTCTCTCTCTCTCTCTCTCTCTCTCTCTCTCTCTCTCTCTCTCTCTCTCTCTCTCTCTCTCTCTCTCTCTCTCTCTCTCTCTCTCTCTCTCTCTCTCTCTCTCTCTCTCTCTCTCTCCTTCACTCTCCTGCTGATGATTCACGCTGGAATCACCCTAAAATAATACCTGATCTCTCCCTCCCTCTACTTTCCTGTTGATAATCACTGAAATAATCCTTCCGTCTTCTCTCTCACTCTCGTTTTGATGATCCACGCTGGAAACCTCCTGGAATCAGCCTCCACGCCTTCCAGGACGGGCCTGGAACACCTCCATGCCAACGAGGGGGATGGCCACTCCCTCCTCCTCCTCCCTCACAGGTTCCCGCCATACTGTCTTCCCCACCCCTCCTCCTACCCCTTCCCTTCACCTCCTCCCCTTCCCCTCTTCCCATTCACTCGGTCGACTCACTGGAAGAGGGAGGAGGAGGGGCCCCTTCCAGCACCGCCCCCCACCCCATGACCTCCCACAAGGGCAGGCGGGAACCAGAGATGGCCGCCACCACACTCTTAGTCTTCTTGAGGTACTTCCCGCCACCACACTCTTAGTCTTCTTGAGGTACTTCCCGCCACCACACTCTTAGTCTTCTTGAGGTACTTCCCGCCACCACACTCTTAGTCTTCTTGAGGTACTTCTCTTAGCGGTCGTTCCGCGTTGTTCACGACCACTGGTGCTCCTTCACGACCACTGCTGCTCCTTCACGACCACTGGTGCTCCTTCACGACCACTGCTGCTCCTTCACGACCACTGGTGCTCCTTCACGACCACTGCTGCTCCTTCACGACCACTGGTGCTCCTTCACGACCACTGGTGCTCCTTCACGACCTCTGGTGCTCCTTCACGACCTCTGGTGCTCCTTCACGACCACTGGTGCTCCTTCACGACCTCTGGTGCTCCTTCACGACCTCTGGTGCTCCTTCACGACCACTGGTGCTCCTTCACGACCACTGGTGGTCCTTCACGACCACTGCTGCTCCTTCACGACCACTGCTGCTCCTTCACGACCACTGGTGCTCCTTCACGACCACTGGTGCTCCTTCACGACCTCTGGTGCTCCTTCACGACCTCTGGTGCTCCTTCACGACCACTGGTGCTCCTTCACGACCACTGGTGCTCCTTCACGACCACTGGTGCTCCTTCACGACCACTGGTGCTCCTTCACGACCACTGGTGCTCCTTCACGACCACTGGTGGTCCTTCACGACCACTGCTGCTCCTTCACGACCACTGGTGCTCCTTCACGACCTCTGGTGCTCCTTCACGACCACTGGTGCTCCTTCACGACCACTGGTGCTCCTTCACGACCACTGGTGCTCCTTCACGACCACTGGTGGTCCTTCACGACCACTGGTGCTCCTTCACGACCACTGCTGCTCCTTCACGACCACTCCCTTCACGACCACTGGTGCTCCTTCACGACCACTGGTGCTCCTTCACGACCACTGGTGCTCCTTCACGACCACTGGTGCTCCTTCACGACCACTGGTGCTCCTTCACGACCACTGGTGCTCCTTCACGACCACTGCTGCTCCTTCACGACCACTGGTGCTCCTTCACGACCACGACCACTGGTGCTCCTTCACGACCACTGCTGCTCCTTCACGACCACTGGTGCTCCTTCACGACCACTGGTGCTCCTTCACGACCACTGGTGCTCCTTCACGACCACTGGTGCTCCTTCACGACCACTGGTGCTCCTTCACGACCACTGGTGCTCCTTCACGACCACTGGTGCTCCTTCACGACCACTGGTGCTCCTTCACGACCACTTCACGACCACTGGTGCTCCTTCACGACCACTGGTGCTCCTTCACGACCACTGGTGCTCCTTCACGACCACTGGTGCTCCTTCACGACCACTGGTGCTCTCCTTCACGACCACTGGTGCTCCTTCACGACCACTGGTGCTCCTTCACGACCACTGGTGCTCCTTCACGACCACTGGTGCTCCTTCACGACCACTGGTGCTCCTTCACGACCACTGGTGCTCCTTCACGACCACTGGTGCTCCTTCACGACCACTGGTGCTCCTTCACGACCACTGGTGCTCCTTCACGACCACTGGTGCTCCTTCACGACCACTGGTGCTCCTTCACGACCACTGGTGCTCCTTCACGACCACTGGTGCTCCTTCACGACCACTGGTGCTCCTTCACCACCACTGGTGCTCCTTCACGACCACTGGTGCTCCTTCACGACCACTGGTGCCCCTTCACGACCTGGTGGTCCTTCACTGGTGCTCCTTCACGACCACTGGCTCCTTCACGACCACTGGTGCTCCTTCACGACCACTGGTGCTCCTTCACGACCACTGGTGGTCCTTCACGACCACTGGTGCTCCTTCACGACCACTGGTGCTCCTTCACGACCACTGGTGCTCCTTCACGACCACTGGTGCTCCTTCACGACCACTGGTGCTCCTTCACGACCACTGGTGCTCCTTCACGACCACTGGTGCTCCTTCACGACCACTGGTGCTCCTTCACGACCACTGGTGCTCCTTCACGACCACTGGTGCTCCTTCACGACCACTGGTGCTCCTTCACGACCACTGGTGCTCCTTCACGACCACTGCTGCTCCTTCACGACCACTGGTGGTCCTTCACGACCACTGGTGCTCCTTCACGACCTCTGGTGCTCCTTCACGACCACTGGTGCTCCTTCACGACCACTGGTGCTCCTTCACGACCACTGGTGCTCCTTCACGACCACTGGTGCTCCTTCACGACCACTGGTGGTCCTTCACGACCACTGGTGCTCCTTCACGGTCCTCCTTCACGACCACTGGTGCTCCTTCACGACCACTGGTGCTCCTTCACGACCACTGGTGCTCCTTCACGACCACTGGTGCTCCTTCACGACCACTGGTGCTCCTTCACGACCACTGGTGCTCCTTCACGACCACTGGTGCTCCTTCACGACCACTGGTGCTCCTTCACCACCACTGGTGCCACTGGTCCTTCACGACCACTGGTGCTCCTTCACGACCACTGGTGCTCCTTCACGACCACTGGTGCGGTCCTTCACGACCACTGGTGCTCCTTCACGACCACTGGTGCTCCTTCACGACCACTGGTGGTCCTTTCACGACCACTGGTGCTCCTTCACGACCACTGGTGCGGTCCTTCACGACCACTGGTGGTCCTTCACGACCACTGGTGCTGCTTCACGACCACTGCTGCTCCTTCACGACCACTGGTGCTCCTTCACGACCACTGGTGCTCCTTCACCACCACTGGTGCTCCTTCACGACCACTGGTGCTCCTTCACGACCACTGCTGCTCCTTCACGACCTCTGGTGCTCCTTCACCATGCTCCTTCACGACCACTGGTGCTCCTTCACGACCACTGAGATAGGACAGCAGAGGTGTCTGTCCTCTGTGTTAGCAGAGCGGTGTTCTATAATTTCCTAACATGTTATCAGACGGCTCTCACTCAGTACCCTCCTGTCCATACTATTTGTGTCTGTCCTTCCATGCTATTTGCGTGTGTCCCTGGACGCAATTTGCGTGGCAGGAGTCACACGCAGGTGTGATCTGGTGTGAGTGGCAGAGTGTGTGTGTGTGTGTGTGTCTGTGTATGTGTGTGTGTGTGTGTGTGTGTGTGTGTGTGTGTGTGTGTGTGTGTGTGTGTGTACACGCGAACACTGACAGTGTTGTCCGCCCGCCTTGCTTACACTGGATCACGGTAGCTGGATGATTTAAAGTCCAGCCTCTACATATAACATCTCTGTCTGTCTCTCTCTCTCTCTCTCTCTCTCTCTCTCTCTCTCTCTCTCTCTCTCTCTCTCTCTCTCTCTCCTCTCTCTCTCTCCTCTCTCTCTCTCTCTCTCTCTCTCTCTCTCTCTATATCTATATATATATATATATATATATATTATAAGAGAATCTTTGTCTGCCAACAGTTCGATGTTGGCCTTACGCATAACATGGCTGACGTTGTGGGTAACTTATATATTTTACCCTCACAGTTATGACTGATAAGTAAAAACAACAAAGAGGACAACATATTAATTCA